GAAGGCCCCCGAACTCAGGATCGGCGCTCCCGCTCGAGCCTTTCCCGTAATTCAGGCAAGTTGGTGGTGGCCCGAACAGGACGACAAGGGCTCCTGTTCGATATTTCTTCACGATTTGCTCCGAGAGCCCCTGGCCAAGAAGCCCCCTGAACTCAGGAAAGGCGGTCTCGCTCGAGATGCTTTCGTAATTCAGGCAAGACAAGTGCTTCCGTTCGATATTTCTCCATATGTATTCCGGGAGTCCTTGGCCAGAGAAACCCCCGAACTCAGGAACGGCGCTCTCGCTCGAGACTTCTTCGCTTTTCAGTCAGTGGCCGACAAGGACAAAATTCCCCCGGAAAGGGGGTGCACTCGAAGACGACATGGACGGGTATCGAGGGTTAGGGTATACGGGATGCAAGACACGCGTGCCAGTAAGAGCGAACAGTCTTAAATTGATTGTTGTTGTTGTCGTCGTTGCCGTTGCCGTTGCCGTTGCCGTTGCCGTTGCCGTTGCCGTTGCCATTGCCGTTGTCGTTGTCGTTGTTGTTGTCGTTGTCGCTGTCGTTGAATTCTCATTTCTGAAGAATAACTATTGTTAATCCCCCCTCACCGGTGCATGGTGTCTTTTCTCAATCAAAGTGGGCCCCTCGACGTTCGCACCCTGTTTTTTGACAGGGAAAATCATCGTGCTCAAACTGGCCCCCTGGCCCCCGGGTTACAACAACAACGGCTCCCGCCTGAGACTTCCTTACAATTTAGCCAGGACCCCCGCTCCCGCCCGAGATTTCCTCGCATTTTATTCAGGAATCGCGCTCTCGCTTGGGACTTCCTTACAATTTATTCAGGAATCGCTCTTCCGGCGCTCTGGAGTCGCGCTCTCGCTGGAGACTTGCTCACAACTTGCTGAAGAATGGCCTTGCGTTGGAATTTCCTGCAATTTGCCCAAGCGCCGTGCTCCCGACACCCAGGCACCCAGGAGTCGCGCCCGTTGTGGCCCCATGTGCGTGCCCTTCGTGGCCCCGCTGTCGCCATTTCTGTCCCCCTCATTGTCCTACGTGGCCCAGTTGCTACCCTCAGTGGCCCCATCGTTGCCTTCTGTGGCCCGCATTATCTGCACTTCGTGGCCCCTGCTCGTTCGCGCTCTTCGTGGCCCCATACGTATTCTTTTCATGTCCCCGCTGTGGTCCTTCGTGGCCTACTTCGTGCCCTTCGTAGCCCTGCTGTCGTTTTCTCTCGCTCTCGCTTTCGCTCGTCGTCGCCGTCGCCGTCGTCGTCGCCGTCGTCGTCGTCGTCGCCGTCGTCGTCGTCGTCGTCGTCGTCGTCGTCGTCGTCGTCGTCGTGGTCGGTCCCATGTCCGTCCCTCTTGGGGTCGGGTCGACGGTCCGCGGCCGCCA